GAGTTCAGCTTTTAAATATCACATGACAATGTGTGTCTTCTCTTTTTAACAGACGTGGACAGTAAACTGGTGGACTTTGAGACCTTCCTGCCAATGCTGCAACATGTGGCTCAATCCAAAGACAAAGTAAGATAAATGGTTTCCTTACACAGGTCAGAGGTCAAAGGTCATTTAATACTAATATTCATTATGTGTGTTAACAGGGGACGCATGACGACTTTGTGGAAGGCCTCAGAGTTTTTGATAAAGAAGGAAACGGGATGGTGATGGGTGCAGAGCTGAGACATGTTCTGGTCACTCCTGGGCTATGCAGGACCAGCAACATGAGACATGCCTGCCCCTGAACAAATTGACTTAAAGTTGATTAACCATGAAAGCATGCACAAGAAGTGTAGAACTTCAATCAATTTTATTTGTATATGCCCAATTCATAACAGAAGTTAGTCTAGGACCACCTTTTCAAATAGAGCAGGTCTAGACCGAACTCCAAAGATGAACGTAGATGAAATCAGACTTACATCATTGGTAAGCACTGATTGGATTTTAGGTGTAGATATTTTGTGAACTGAAGTAGTTCAAAATATTAACTGTTGTCCTGTGTTCATTGCTTTCTTATTCATTGTTATTTACATGAAGATGCATCCTCAGACATTGTGTGTTTGAATGTGTGTTTATTAAAAGGAGAGAGGATGACAGAGGAAGAAGTGGACAAACTGTTGGCAGGACAGGAAGACGCTAATGGATGTATTAACTATGAAGGTAACAAACAGTCAGTAAACAGACAAACAGACCTGTCAAATAATGACTGACATAAACTGTTTATTTTACAGCTTTTGTCAAGCACATCATGGCTGGTTGAAACAACATGTGAGTGTCAATTTGTTTATTAAATATCAGTAGTCAGTCAATCTGTTTACTTCTGTACAAAACCAATCTGTCTGTTTCAGGTTGGAGTCAAAGAAGTTCCTGGTTTGCCCTGGTCACTACTTTCTTCTCTTTCTTCAATCTAAGATACCTGCTGTTTTTGTCCACTTGTTAAGAATACAATAAAACGTATTAGCATGTTAAACAGTGTTGTGGTTGCATTTCTTTTCAGTCCAGTGAGTGGAACAGTGTAATTATCTTGTTCCACTGCCCGTGTGTGCTGAGTTTGGCTCCCCTACCCAGGTAGTCAGCTGAGCTGTACTCAGCTATGGTCTTCAGCCAACTGTGGCCCAGTTGTGGTTTCCAGATTTGGTCAGGTTTTGGGTGTTGAATTGTGCTGATTAAGTGTCACACCCAAAATCAACTTCCCAGAAAGTGTCTAGGAGCATGTACATACTACACACTACAAACACCACACTACAAACTATATACTATATACTATACACTATGCACTACAGACTACAGAATACAGACTACATACTACATACTACATACTACACACTAAATACTACCCACTACTAACAACACACTACATTACTACATTCATCATTAATTTGCAGTCAGTGCTTCTGAATAAAGTCCAGGAAAATCTGGTTCAGATTTTAAGTTTTCAGGCTGATTCATTCCATGGATACTGACAGTGATCTATTCTGGTTTGCTGGAAGGTTTCAGATGAACTTGTCAACAAATTAACATATTTTATTAATTAAATAATTCATTTAAATCTTTATCTTGAGGTTGTTGATTATACTTCTTTTAGACAATTAATTAGTATAATTATGGATTTAATTTGAAAAAGGGTGGGATTGGAAGTAATGGACATGTGACTGTGTGTGTGTGTGTGTGTGTGTGTGTGTGTGTGTGATGACACACTACCTAACCTCTCAGGTTTCACTCGAGACGCAAAGCAAGAGAGAGAGAGATTCACACAGTCAGACAGACAGACAGACAGACAGACATTTATTGGATTTATTTTGGATTAAACAAACAGAATCAGGTAAGACTGTACCGTCATATTTTAGTGTGTGTGTGTAGATAATGAATGGTGTGTTTGTGTGAAGGACTCTGTGTCTGCTCCTAAGAAGTTTCAATCGAAAGATTTCTGGTTTATTTTACTGTGTGTGTGCGTGTGTGTCTGTAGTACACCTGCTGCGGTGCTGTTAAAGTGATTCTCTCTCTCTCTCTCGCTCGCTCTATGACATTATTAAAACTATTTTTATTTATTTAATGTTTCAACAAAATGTTTGTGTTCAGTTTCATTTTGTAAGGTTTAAATCTCAATAGTTACGTTTAATCTTTTTTAAATCACAGGTAACCATAGCAACAATACAGATGGATTCAATTGAATCCGTTGTGTACTGGGAGCCGTGGACAGCCACTGTACTTATTGTACTGACTGGAAAAAAAACTAACTAAACCACCCTAATCGTGGGGAGAACATGCAATCAGGAAGGTTCTAACACCAGCTGGGAATCGAACCCAAGACTTTGTTACTGTGAGGAACTGCTGTAACGGGACCGCAGACAAACTGTAAACATTCTGACCATTCAACTAGTGGACTGTAACAGACTCAGTGTGGAGAGCCGGGCAAATTACTCAAGGGCCCCACAGATTACATAAGGGCCTCCCCCTTCTGTCAAAGTACATGTCAATGTTTACAACTTCAGTGAGGATGAACCAAACTCTCTGTCATGAACAGGGTTAGGGTTACTTATTCAGACTGACAGAACAAACAGTTTTAAAAGAAGGAGGATCGTAATGGGAGCACTGGATCATAGTGGCAGCACTGGATCATAGTGGCAGCACTGGATTATAGTGGGAGCACTGGATTATAGTGGGAGCACTGGATTGTAGTGGGAGCACTGACAGGTGTCTGTCAGTGTTACTGGGAAGTGTCTGTCTGTTTCTTGGATGAGTTCAGGAGGATTGTTTGTGATGTTAAGACTGCAGCAGCCATGTTGTGGCTCGGACTGTTAATAGTTTTAAAGAGCGATGAGGTTCAGGTTCAGTTTAATAAAACAGAACGTTGACTCCAGGACACAAATTGGGGTTAGAGTTTAAGATAAGCCAGCAGACTCAGTATTTATAGGCCGACTGACTGTTCAACAAGCTGATCAGGGATCAGATATTAACAACTGCTGCAGTCTAATTCAGCCCAGTGTGACTGTGGCCAGGCTAACCACTAACTGAGCAGGGTCACACTGAAAGGTTAACATCCTGCCAGAGGAAATAGCATTTAGCTAGTCAGATTAGCACTGCTAGCTTCAGTTCAGGATAGTATGTATGCGAGTGCGGGTCCTGACTCGGAAAAGCTTTAATATGAATGGATTATCACACATATCTGGTTGCTAAAGATCTCTGTGCTGCAGCCGTGTTTACACAGGAGCTAATGGCTAGCTACCTTAAACATTTTTGCTACTAGCTGCTAACATATACTCAGATGTTATATTAGTTAGGAGCTTTAGAAACTAAAATGTTGACCTTGTATGAGTCATAAACACACATTTTCAGTATAGTATATATTTCTCTTATATATATTATAAACACAATATATGTGTCATAAGCATTATACAAAGTATCTTTTTTGTACATTATAGACACAGTATATGTCAGTATTATGTATACTATCATTACACCTGAATATTAGTTTATTAATGTTTCATTTTATTCCATCAGATATAAATATTCTTCATGTTAGCTGAAACATTTGCATTTTTCAGGATTCATTCTGACAGATTCAGTATCTGTTAGTACTTAGTAAAGCTTTGAAAGTTTTGAACAACATTTAGTGAAACCACATTTGTGGCCGAGTCTAGATATGTAACTAACCGTTAGCTTCAATGCTACTGCCACACACTACAATGATCAACAGACCTAATTAAGGTTTTATTTCAGTTGGGTGTTTTTGTCAGCCATGACAAAATGAAAGACTAAACAGTTACCCTCATTGCCTACCCAGAATGCCCTGTGGTCCACAGAAGTCCTTTGAAAGCAGTTAGATTGAATCAGAGCTCTTCTATTCTAGTCCTTGGGTGGATGCCTCTGAGTTGAAGTTGAGCTTGAAAACTGAATTTTAAACTCCACCAATTAAAATATGTTTAAAGCAATACAATTTTACACATTTAGAATCCAAAAATGTGTAAAGTTTATGCTGCCACCCTAACCTTTTAAAATTAGCTTTTTTTTCTAATTGGGACACGTTTTTTTGTCTCTAATGAATGGATCCTTAGTCCCAAGGCAAACCTAAGTCAGACTGCACAGACGCACATAGAAGTGACTGCAGCACATATGGAGGTTTTAAAGTTACAAGTTACTTGGCATCTAAATCGCAATGTGATCCTCAGAAAACACACACACACACACACACACACACACAGATATGAGTTCAAGTTCATGTGTGGCAGCAGATCCGTAATGTAGCTGGTTTGTGTCCTCAGAGATTTCTGTCTACAGACGACTCTATCAGAGAGTTTAACACAGGATGAACACTAATATGTTTTATTATTATTAATGTTATTAATAATATAATAGCTTTATTTGTATAGCATTCTTAAACATAAACAGAAAAACACAACTAATCAGTAAACAGTAATCAGTTATCAATAACCAGTAACCAGTGACAGTAACCAGTGACCAGTAACCAGTAACCAGTGACGATTAATTAGTAACCAGTCATCAGTCATCAGTCACCCTCTTTATTAAAGTTTGTAAGGAGAATGGTCTAGACCTGCTCTATTTAAAAAGTGTCCTGAGAACTTCTGTTATGAATTGGTGCTATACAAATAAAATTGAATTGAAATTGAATTGTAAGAACGCTGGTTGGTTCTTTTCTTCTGTTTATC